TTAATATATTATAAAAATGTGATAGTGATTATAAATATTAATGTGATTATATAAGGGTATTTTAGTTATAAAAAAAATGAAATATAAAATTATGTGATTATATAGAGGTTGTGATTATAGAAGAGGTGACTATAGAGGGGGATGACTGTATTATCCTGAGGATTTAAAGAGTTAAGTGTAGTGTTTTGAAAAGTGATTTTGCCAGCTCTTTTCCATCTTTATTCCGAAGGTGATTTTCACAGAAGTTTAAGTTTCATTTTTACAAAGAGCCACTGCAAATGCTTTTCCTACTTCAGCATTTAGCAAATTATTTAAAAGATTCAAGTAAGCGAGTGTTGCATTTTTACAAAGAGCTCTTGCCAGTGCCATTCATCTTCAAAACCAATTTCGTTATTAGTTAATTCTAAATAATAGCTGTGTTTTTATAAAAAGCTTTCTGATAATGTTATTCCTCCTTCAACACCAAGTTGATTAGTTTTAAGATTCAGGAAAGTCAGTGATGAGTTTTTGCATAGCGCAGTTGCCAATAGTTTCACTCCTTCAATGCTAAATTGATTACCTCCAAGATTTAAATAGATCAGCAAGTTGTTTTCAAGAAGTGCATTTGCCAATACTCTTGCTTCTTCAACACAAATCTGATAATTTTAAGATATAAGGAGATAAGTACAAAGAGCTTCTGCCAATGCTTTTTACCAAGTTTCTTACCAAAAATGTAAGGGTGGGTTTTTTAAGAAGGACACCTGCCAGTGTCTTCACATCCTTATCAGCAAGATGACAATAATCAAAGCTCAAAGTTAAAGAACAGCTTTTTTGTAAAGTGTTTTAGCTAATAATTTTCCATATTCAAGAATATATATATACTTAAGCTTTAAAGAGTTGTGCATGATATTTTTAGAAAGAGCATCCACCAATTCTTTTATATTATCAGAATCAAAGTTAGGCAATTCATCAAAGTCATCAGAATTAAATCTAGACTATTCAAGATAGATTTCGTTAATATGTGTGTTTCTATAAAGAGTTTTTATTAAATCTTTCTGAATATACTATAATAATAACTATTAAAGATTACAAATTTAAGCTTTTCACTTGTTCATAAAAGCATTGCGATCAATGAATATTTAATTCTTGGAATCGTATAAGAATATATATAGGTGTACAACCTTCTTTGTTAATCCAATCTATTATTGACTTACTAAGATGAGAAGCTTCTCATAAAAGATAGTAAAAGTAGAATAATTAAACAATGGTATCAGTCCTTTTGGAAATCTTAGATGAAATATTTCGTTTAATGAAGCTTGGTTTTCAGAATTTAGTAACAAAAAGAAAGTTTTTTATAATTCCTGCATCGCTAAAATCTTTTAGAGAAATAAGATTTCATAGTGTTATAAATATTAAACATTTTTGAAAAATGAAAAAATTCAGATTATCACATGCAATTTTTTTATAAAGATATCTTTTATACCATAACAAATGAAAAGTCTGAATCAGGTGTAGCATAAAAAATTCGCTTGTAAAAATTTTTAACTATGCTGTTCTATATGGTGTTCCATTTGGGCCAAAAGTGCAATTTTTTAAAAATCTAAATTTTCAAAATTTTGAAATTGTAAAAATTGAAAAATTTAAAAATTCGAAAATTGAAAAATTCAAAAATTGAAAATTCAAAAATTGAAAAATTCAAAAATTGAAAAATTCAAAAATTGAAAAATTTAAAAATTTAAAAATTTAAAAATTCAAAAATTCAAAAATTCAAAAATTTTTAAAAAATTTTAAAACATCTAAATATAGTAAATTAATTGCCAAATATAAAGTGTAAGATATACAGATCACATGTTTTTAAATTTTGTATAACTCAACACATGTTTGTGGGAAAGCCAAATTCAAATTTCATGTGATTATAATACATATTTGGCAATTAAAATACTATATTTAGATTTGGACTTATTTAGGCATCGCGCCCAGCAAAATAAATATTTATCGCATGTGGGATGCGATACTATTAAATACCAACATAAAAAATTTTTTTTTTTTATATTGATAAATTATTCAAAAATAGATATATATGCGCATGTACCGAATCATACGCATCAAATGCGCATTTATCCCATCGAAATTTATTTTTTCTTTTAAATGCTCATTCATTCGCAACTCATACGGGAGGTGTCTCCAAAATTCCGGGTCGGAATACATCTGATAAATTTTGCCAAGATTATTAAAAATTTACTAGTGAAATCATTAAATGCTCAGCTGATAATTTTGCTATAGAACCTGCAAACCAACTAGGGCTAAACGTCGACCTAGATCCAACACAGAATTTTGGAGACCCTTCTACGCGCAAGAATAAAACCAGTATCAATAAATTTCACTTCTAAATTTAACCTAACGCAAATACGCATGTACTATAAATGCATTCTAGCATTACCGATCTTAAACAACTCTGTTTTTAGAGACTGTAGTCATCACAAACTTTTATTAGAAGATATTAACGTGTAACAATAGCCACATTTCAGTTTTGCATAGAACATTGAATACGCAACATACATTATATCTATATCAGGTAAATTAGACATCTATATACAATTACATCATATCGATATTCCCTCCTTTTAATTACTTCTCTTTCGCTTGTGATAAGCCGAATTATGACCCACTTCACCACACTGTTTACATTTATATACACCTCTAGAAGTTCCTTTCCAACTTTGTTCTTCTACACTACTTTTAAAGCGACTCTTTGGTGGTCTTCCCTTTTCTTTGACATGACTTGGATTTTGAACATTCTGAGGAACTTGTATACCGATATCTTGGCCGTCAGGTATTTCATCATCAGAATAACTGTCACTTGTTTCTTCTGATCCAGTCTGGTCTTTATTCATATTGATATCCATTTCATTTGATCGTGAATATAGTTTTTCCTTATTATTGCTTTGAGTATTGCTAATATTTGTATTTTTTTTTTTTTTTTTCTTTGGATGTAGCTTTGAAGAATATTAACAATTTCACTATCATCATCATCTACTGCTAGTAATGTTGCCTCACGAGCCAATCCCAAATTTTACCATATTTATTTTGTTTTTGTAGAGCTTTTTTTACAACTGTGGGTCATAGCTGGAACTATAGATGGCCTTTGAACTAACATCTTCGCCACTACATCCTTCTTTTTTAATTTCTTTTCCATGAATGAATATAATTTTCTCATTCTTGTATTCTATGTTTTCTTGATAGGGGTCTTGATACAATTGTGGAAGGATCATTGATATGTGAAAAGCCGCAACCTTGGAATGCATCATGATGCGAAAATAATGACGACAGATAAGTCCTCTTGAAATTGACATGAGACATGAATACAAGAAAGACACCGGGTTTACAATGGCTATAAAATGTATGTGATACTTTTTTTCACCACGAATATCAGAAATTTTCTAGATTTCTTGTATATTTTCACTTCCGACTTCATTTATTATAGACTGAAGAGTAATTTTACGTGCATCATAATTATCTTCAATAAATCCATTTGATGCTTCTTCAATACTTTCCTGCTCAGAATTAAGCTTGTCAGACGTTGGTTCAATCCTATTTGCTGTGAGAAACAAACATTGGGCCATTTCAGATTTAATTGTGTTACTAATCGCTTCCGTGAGATATTTATCAATAGTTTTGATTACTGTTGGGAAAAGATCATGCCCAACAGCAGGCACAGTTGCAAACGTCGTAGAATTTTTATACTGATTATATTTATTCCATTGTGCTTCTGTTTCTAAGCATTTTTCAAGATGATGTGCAAGTTCAATCAATGTGTTATTTGCCTTTAGTTCCTTTTTAATTACCCAATTATAACCTTCAACCCGAGCTGTACTCTCAATTCCGGCAGTGAAAATTTTAGAAAGATAAGCACGTGTCCATGACCTACTACATAGATGCAATGTATGTAGCAAATAGTCTTTTGCCATTGGGTATTTGTTAAGCATATCATCCCAACATTTATGAAAAAGTGGTTCACAAAGGCTGTTATGGCACTGATAAAAGGTTTTCATAAAATCTTCCTATTTGCTACCTATCTTAGCTTTCAAATTCTTGGGCAAATTTTGTCCAATATGAAAAATATATGTGCAATGTAGATTTTAGAAAACGTAATATGGACCGCAGCATTAAGTGCTGGATCCGCATCAGAAAACATTACTAAAGGCTCTACTTTTGTGGCATTTTTTATGCAGGTGGTGAGAGTCCAGCTATAAGTATCCAGAGTTTCATTGCTTACTAAAACCTGAGAGACAAGCTGTGTTTTTCCATTATCGTCAATGACTACAAATAACCCTAAGGGCATTTGATATTGATTAGTTTTTGCAGTGTTATCACTGATGACAACAAAATAATATTTTAACCATAAGTCGATCTGTTTAGGGGACATTCAGAACAACTGTGTAAGCCTGTTATCTTCGTCCAGTTTGAATTCCACGGCCCACCTAGGATCTTCCATCTTATTAGTTAATAAGGTATTGAGCAGGTTTGATACATCTTTCGTTTCATGCTTATCTCTTTTAAATTTTTGAATACTATTGGCAAGGTCACTATCAAGGAAATGCAAATCAGGAAAACGTCCTTTTAAAAGATTAAGCTGCGATATAATAGTTAAGTTTCTGTGTTTCGTCATAATTTCTACTTCTTTTAGCGCATCCTCTGTAAAAGTACGATATTTAACTCCAAATTCTTGTGTTTCAATATGTATATTGTGATTATGCTTGTTGACAAAGGTAGTGATTGATATAGAAGTCCTGCTTCTCCATAAGAGAGATTCACATGCCATGGACAGTTGTCTTTGTATTTTTTTGTTTGCCCTTATGCACAGCAACCTGATTCTTATTAGGTCTATATTTTCCTCCAAACTTACAAATGAAAGTTCTCTTATGAATAATCTCCACTTTATTTTTTTCTACACGATATTTGATTACAGTGAATCCATTTGTCTACTATACTCTACAAAAAAAGTTTCAACATCTCCCCAAAAATCAAACGGAACATCCATAGGAATGTCTTCTGAAATAATCTCAACTTCATTATTGTGTTCTTCAAGGTCAACATTAAACTGGTTAATCAATTCATCTTTATCTTGATTATTCAAATAATTAGATTCGTTCATGGTTGATGCTTCAGGTTTGTTCATATTTGAGGTTTTCATCTTGTCTCTATTTTCATTATACTTTTGAATTTCAACATTCTGACCATAAAATGAACTGGAGGCATTGTTGATATTTGTTGTTATAGAACATTCAGCATCATCAAAAAAAATGTATCGTTTCATATCCATCATACTTCCTGAATGATTATTTGAAAAATTAGCAGTATTCATTTTGTACCAATATGGTTCCATGTTTAATGACGAAAATCATATGTAGAGCCAACAAAAAAAAAATAAAATAAAATAAAAAAAATCAGATGAAATATCGACAAGAAAATCAGATTGAAAGTGACAATAAAATCAAATTGAAAATGGCAATAAAATCAGACATGAAGGTGACAAGAGATTGAATGTAAATGTAACGAGAAAGTTAGACGTGAAGGCAGCAAGAAAATCGAATGCGAAGGCGACGAAAAAATCGGGCACGAAGATGTAAGAAAATCAGGTATAAGCAACTCAAATTCGGATTTCATATTCTTTATGATTGTTTGGCATATGATAAAAAGACACATCGCATAATAATGTAATTCATCAGCAGCGATTTGCTGTTGCAGTCACGTGATCCGTATAGTTTGTAGTATTCATCGACAGCGATAAAAATTTTATGCTGCTGTGGTCACATGTTCTGTATTGTTTGTAGTTAGTATAAGAACGCGATGCATTAACGTGCATCACATATTATTTTATTAATAAAGATGCGATAAATTGTAATATCACAGGGTGCTATGTATACATTTATTCTTTAGATTTTATCAAATTTCAAATTTTTGAATTTTTGAATTTTCAAATATTTGAAAATTTGAAAATTGAAAAATATGAAAATAAAAAATTTAAAAATTGAAATTTTTGAAAATTCAAAAATTCAAAAATTTGAAAATTGAAAATTTTGAAAATTAAAAATTTTAAAAATTCAAAAATTCAAAAATACAAAATTTGAAAATTAAAAATTTTAAAAATCCAAAAATTCAAAAATTCAAAATTTGAAAAATTTGAAAATTGAGAATTTTAAATGTAATAAAATCGAATTTGTCACATGATAAAATCGAATAAACACTTACATTATTTATGACAAAATCGAATAAAGCTTGTGATAAAATCGATCTTATCACATAACAATTTCGAATTTATCATATTTAAAATTTACAATAAAAAAAGATTAAATACGAATCTTGACATGATAGTTCAAGTTTTACAACTCTAATAAAACCTTCTATATTCTTCTTTTTTATTTATTCTTCATAGTTTTCTTTTTTTTAAAAAGTACTTTAAACTGTATAAATAATATAAAATTAAATTGATTTAAACTACCAATCATACGAATATCTGCCTATGAGGCGTGCAACAAATAAAAAATTGTTTGCAATACAAGATTAGTCACTAGTATATATTATGATTATAACCCAACTAGAGATGGGTTTCATGCGTGTGCATGAAACCTCAATCATGCGCATTTTATCCCATCAAGATTTTATATAGAAAAATTAAAATATAAACTGGGCACTTGAGTTGCTCAAAGGGAGTTTGAAATGAGTGTGTATTGTATTATTAAATAAATCCTTTCTTCTTTAGGAAAATAA